GACCCCAAGGTATCAGCATCTATGTTGTTAAACCAGGATGAAGAAGATCGGGAATATAATTGTTTCTACAGTTGCGCTTTGGGATACATTGATACTCATATTGCTGGGAGGAAGATACCATTCATGGTTGATTCCGGCTCTATGGTCAATGTTATCCCAAGACAAGCTGCAATTGATCTCGACTTGGAAGTTGTGGAAGTAGACATACCAATGAAGGGAATTGGCGGTGATCGGTGTGATATCAAGGGTGTAGTCGAGAACTGTGCCATTAGTATTGGACGATTTACCGGGCCAGTTCATCTTTTTGTCTCTCCGCAAGCACAAGACTGTATCCTTGGACGACCATTTTTGTTTGATTACGATTGCACACTCGATTATCCTGGATCAGGCGAATTACTATCTTTTCAAGGCGATATTGGACGACGAATTACGGTACCTATAGCAAAAATAGGACAAGGACGTGGATGGAATCAGCTCAAGAATCTCAACTCAAGTTCATTCCAAAAACCTGTTTCCACTTTGGATGGTGAAAATGATTTGAATAGTAGTCCAGAATCAGATGTCAAGGGTTCCATTGAAACCTTTGAGCATAATTTGTTTTGCATCAAAGAATTCAAAAACCTGAGGCACATGAATTACTTACTGCTATTCTGCTTTACAAACTTCCTTTCTTTGATGCAAATTTCCTTGAAATTTCTTCAAACTGAAGGGGAAAAAGTGAAACCTAAAGTCAAGCTTACAGCAAGCAGTACAGCCAAATTTGTTTCAGATTCCTGTGCATACATGTATAGAATATGCAAATCAGTCACTATGGATAATGGTGCAGAATTTAAGGAAGACTTTGTTGAAGATGTTAAGAAGATAGGGGCTACCTTGAAATTCACAAAACCATATTATCCTGGGGCAAAGGGAATGATTGAATGTGGACACAGGCCAATCAAGGATGCTCTTGCCAAATGGTGCAGGGAATCTGGCGGCAAGTGGCGTGAATATTTTCCTTTGGTATTGTTTTCAGACAGGATTTTGAAAAAACGGACGACTGGATTTACACCATATGAGCTAGTTTTTGGACATTTACCAGTATTGCCAGTGAACCTTGAGGTGGACACCTATTTAGGGGTTGATTGGTTAGAAATTAAAACTACATCAGAAATTTTGGAAGCACAAACCTTGCAACTAGAAAGGCGGGACGCACTTTTGAAAGAGGCCCATGAAAAGAAGCTCAAATCAAGGGAGGATTCTGTACGGTACTGGGACCGAAAAATGGCAGCACAATTACGGAAACGTCTGGATACGGGAGATTTGGTTTTTGTCTACAACAAAAGTCTGGAAGATCAACGGGGAAATTTATTTGTTAATAGATGGAATGGACCATTTAAAATAAAGAAAAAATTACCTGGAGGATCTTACATTCTTGAGGAACTAGATGGAACTGAACTCAATCAAACTTACGTGGCATCACACGTTAAACAATTTTACCCTCGAGGACAACTATTTGACAAGATTTTGGAGGACCAGGAGGATTATAAAAGTGGGAGTGAGTATGATGAGAGTCTAAAAAACTTTGATCATGAAGACACCCATGATAAATCTGAGGATTGGAATTCCAGTCAATGTTGGCTTTCTCCTGGGCATGAGACTAAACTGTTCAACAATTCAAATTCACATAACTTTTCAACAATTGTTAGTGGCATAAACACAAACCTAAAAAATTATGTAGCAAAATACAAAAACAAGAAAATAAAAATAAAAACCAAAATAAAGCAGTATAAATTCTTTTAAGTTGGGGGAGGAATCCTTACCTTTTCTTGATTGGGTTCATACTGGCAAAAATCAATAAGCTGGCTCATTTTTTGCAAGTTGGGGGAGGAAATCCTTGCCACTCTTGCTTGAACTGTGTTACTAAGAAGAAAGAAGAAGAGAAAAAAAAAAAAAAAAAGCTGGTTCATTTTTTCAAGTTGGGGGAGAAAAATCTCACCTTTTCTTGTTTTGATTTAGGGTTAGTTAAAAAAAAAAAAAAAAAA